CCCGCCACGGAAAAGGAATAATCGAGTCCTTTTCGGAAGCCTCACTGAAACTCTGCACCACGGGAAACTTGGTAACACACCATTTTACCGGCCTTTGTCAAATTTTTTATTTTATTTAGGAAGTGTCTTTACATCTGTTCGGAAGTAAAAAGTGCGATGAAAATGGGAAAACAAATATTTTCCGTTCAGAAAATTCGGTGAATGGGGCCGCGAAGCGCTTTTCAAGTTCGCCGTCGTTGTTTTTCTTATCATACAACTCAACTGATTTATTCCCTTCGTTTTTTTTATTTTTTGAAGAGGTGTCAGGTGTCTGGAATTCTTCAATAATAACGTGTGTTTTTGCGCCACTAATCATTTCTCCCCTGATTTCATAAACTCTGTTTTTTTTTAAAAAAGTGAAGATAGGAGATATGGAAAAATGATAGCAGCAGGAAGTGAATACGAAACAGCCGAGTTTCCCCGACAATTCGCCATTCAAGAGTTTATTTTGCACGTGACGTATCTGCTTGGAATCTGAACCGAATTTTGGTCATTTCTTTTGGCGTTTTTCTTTTGAATATGCGCAACATCACTGTGGCGAGTTTTCTTTTCTTCAAAGAACCAATGTTAAAAGCTTGAAAAAATTCAGAGTATTTTTTTTTGTAGTGCAATACTGCATATGCAGACTTGCAGAGTCACTCCAAATGTTGCAGGTATAATAATGAGTCACTGCAAAACATTCAAACTTAGTTAGAAAATAACATTTTTTTTCTTGTAAAATACGATGGGAATCAGTTGACGGACGAGAAACCAAACATGCGAACATTACACCCATCGAATTCGAGCTTCAATTCGTGTCTAAAAAATGTTTACAATCCCGTGAATATTGTTCATTGAAAAAAAGCGAAAACAATTCTAAATCGTTGCAATGAGTTCTTAGCTTGTGAATTATCTAGCAATTACAGAAGGGAAACTGCGTTTGTCCCTGCTACGAATATAATCATTATTCATTCAAGTTTGCAAACAAGCAATTTTAATGGAAACTAAAATGCGTTAAAATTAATCCTTTCAGAATTTTCGACGAAAAACATTCATTACTTTGGCTATTTATCGAATATTTCCGTGTATTGCTTTTGTGAAAATTACATTTTCATCCGTTTGCCTTTAAATTTCAATCATATTTTTACAAATGTGGGAACATCAGAATGATGGGTTGTCGATTTCTCGTCATCTTTAAAAGCGATTGAACATTGCGAGACATTTTTTTAAAGGGCAGTAAAATGAAACCTAGACGTGAACGAGAATATTAACCACGTTACCACGATTAATTTCCAAGTTCGGCAACATTCGTTTGGATGAAGATGCTCAATAAGTTGAAAAGGAGAAGTCAGTATTTACGACTTGGCTTATACCTCTCATAAATAAATCAAAACTTTTGGCAAAGTTAATCCGAATTTGGGTGATGAAAACCCGTCGATAACCGCGCCGGTATGTACAAGAAGAATAGTTAAGATAGAGTAAGGGAAACCTTGAGCAAATCCGTGCCAAGTCAACTGCATTTCCCCCGACCATCGGCGAATTTCATCCTCCACCAACTGCGAATTCGGGAGGAACTTTGCTCTCGAGTGTGAAGCAGACCGTGGCTGAACCCTGGCGCCTCTTCATTCAGCACCCAACCGAGATCCGCATTTTCACTGCTGTATATTCACTGCTTGCTGTCCCTGCCAACAAAAAAAAAGTGCAGGAAAAAGTGAGAGCAAAATGCCAGGAGCCAGGGTCGAATGTGTTTTGCATCACCGTCCCTGTTCATGCGTCCAGCGTTCACGACTATATACACGACGAGGCACAGGCAGTCGATTTTCGTTCGTGCTTATTATTATTATTATTGCTTCTCCGTTTATATCTCAGTGCTTTTTTTTCCTCTCTCCTCAGAACCCGCCAACAAACAGGACGTGATCCCACTGAAAAGGGGGCCGGGAATTAGGAGACCCGCGGGTGTCGAGGATGTGCGCTATCGCAGACATCGTCGACTCGAATTCACCCACGGGTTTCCTTTATTTTGCGTTTCTTTTTTTGTTTTGTTCATGCTCTCGTTCCGACCCAAATGACCACGACTTCAGTGATCAAGTGGTTCAGAACCGTCAAGAGCAGGGAATTCAAGAGCAGAAAATGCAAGGGGGGAAAATCAGTCAGATAAAAGGAAACCCGGCCGACGGGAAACCGTATGAGGGCACAATATTACTACTGATGCTCTTGATAAAGCATCCGTCTGTAAACCGACTTGATCGCACACTGACACTCGTAATTTTAGCAGTGGACATCAGTATAGTTTCACCACATTCACCAGCTCACACATTGTACAGTATTGCACGTCCTTCCCGATCTAAAAATAGAAAAAATCTCATTCGCAAACAATAATTCCTGCAAATTCGGGGGGTGCCCGATTTCCGCTCGGTAGTTCAAAAGAAAACTGTGCCACCAGATGTTTAAAATGTCCTTTGCTAATTTTACTCGTTCACTCCGCTTTCCAAATTATGCTCTCGTTTTTCTTTTGGATTCAGAAGTACAGTACAGTATCCGTAATACAGTATCAGTAATTTTCTTTCCTTTTGTTGGAATGGCGGCGTAACTGAGAAGAAAGCGTTTCAAACGTGCATTGGATAGACGAAGAACTTCAATCAGTAGAATCAACGCTTTTTCAATAGCATTGATGTTGCTCTTGATAAAGCATTCGTCTTTAAACCGACTTGTTCATTTAGATCCAACTTCATTCATGGACTAATTTGATTGTTCCAGCATTCACTTAACTGAAAAATAATTTATTCCAGTAATGCATGGATAGAGGAACTTCTCACTGTTACGGTGTATATAATGAGTGAGTGAAATTTTAGACCCAGAATATTAGAAATAAGTTGACTGACGAAATAATATATTGTATAATTATAATTCATACAATTATGTAGGAGATAAACTGTGATACGACAATAGAATGTTCGCTTCAAATCTTGGCGTGAGCATAATTTCTGCGAAGTAATCTATGGAGTTGATCAATTTCCGCATTCATTCTTTGGTTCATGGAATTCCTATAGTTCGAACATTACCATAGGAATATGCTGGAAGACGATGATTTCAAATTTCTTACGTCATTATAGGTGGGACAAAAATTGTTGGAAGTTAACAATAGACTTCATTTTTCATCTATTAATGGCGTCTTCTAAACGGCATTAATTTCGAAATGCCTGCCATACGAGAGCGATTATTTTCTGTTTATTACCAAAATTGAATGTGCAAGCTTCTTTTTTTGAAACTTATGTGAAAAAAAAATTATTGTGTGACAATAATTTTGAATAAAGTGATCAAATCAACAGAACTCCGCGTTCAGAAATAATATAACGTATACAGTACTGGATCGGGAAATAAGTAGAATTCGACTGTTTCTTGAAATCGGGCATCCATTTTTCTCCGTAAAACTATCATAGAAAATCAGCAATCCTATAAATATTTTCCAAGTATTTTATCACAGTACGAATATTAAACGAGAAAATTATGTAGATAGATTCCGGTTTTAAAATACGACTTTCATCAAAAAACTGAAACACGACGAATTAACGACAACAGATTTCCGACAAATACATTTCGATGCATAAAGACATTCAAGTTGAGATGAGAAGCTTTCAGTTTTTCTCATGCGAGAAATTCGTTGATTTGCTAAACATCCTTCAAATACACTTCGAAACTCTGCATCCCTCGAAGAAGATTAGTCTTCTGCTCGTGCCAAAAAGAACCATTTTTTATTGTTATGCGGTAACAACGGGTCCATTCAAGCAAGCAATTGGCCACACATGAAGTTCAACGCAAAGAGAATAACCCAAGGAATGTATGCTTATTTTTTTCGAGAAGATTTTTTTTCCTGAAGAACATCATTTTGCATAAAACGATACGTTTTACTTGAAAACAATGTCTATCTTGTGGTGAAATTTTGAAAACATTTGAAGGCTTCATTGGCAAGAGGGGATGAAAAACCCCGCCGAAATTTGTTATTACTCCGATGGATTCCTAAGAATACGGCTAACTTTCGAGAGAAACGCAGATTCGATAATTTATTATTCATAAATTAATGAAGCAGATTTGAATTGATCCCATAAAAATGTAATTCTGCTTGTTAGGGGAGAAGCGATCAACTAAAACAGAAATAATAAATTTAACGAATTCATTCAAACACAGTATTTTTACCCTCTTGTAGGGGTATTTTGAAAGAAAAATGCCTCATAACCTTTTTTTAGAAAAATACATTCCTCAAAAATGTAACGCATGTTTTGCTGATTCTTTAATGGTGAATCATTCAAAAGTTTGTGAAAGTGACACAAAACTTCTCATATATTTTCACGACCTCGTGTTATAGAATGCAAACAATTATTCTCGAGATGTGAATATTTTCTCAATGTCTTACTTGTGCATGACCATCTATTGAAACTAAAACGATTCAATCGAATATCATTCGAAGTATAATTCATCGTATGCCATATTCTTAATTTTACAAGCAAGTAATTTTTAGCATTCGTTTAAAATGTGGAGCTCAATGTTCAAAGAAGAAGAAAAAAAGCACTATCGGGATCTTGAAAACTTTTTACAAGAATAATGAAATTCAAGTTAATGTGTTTGATTGAAATAATTTCACTGCAGTTTTCTTGCCATCATTTCCTGTAGCAATTTTCAGCATATTATATGGACATACTGTATCTCATCTTCGCTCTGGATTTCATGCGCAGAAAATAAAACATGTTTCTCAAAAATTGTTCAACAGAAATAAAAATAATTTATTTGGCATGTCAGTGAATCACATCATCATCATCATCATTACATGGTAAAAAAAAAAGAAGAAGAAAAAACGATAAAAATTACACAGTCAAAAATCCCGGAAGACGCTCTTATTTATCCCCGCCACGGAACCGTTCAAAATTCCTTGAATACTTTCAACAACAAGAAAATCAAAAATCTTGCGCTTTGTACATATCACACACGACCTTTTCGATCGGCGTGGCTCCGATCGTCTTCTGGAAAAACAGCTTGGAAATGGTGTGACTGGAAACCGTCCTGAGTGTCGGCAGGAGCAACAACAACTTGCCAAATCGAAACGGCTGATTCGGATAAGCTGCTGCAATGTATCTGCACAGCGTGAGTTGGGCCTGGTCCTGCAACACGGCCACTGTCCCGGGCTCCTTCAGGCCCTGCAACTCCACCGAGGCGTCCCCCGAGGAAAAGGCGGTTTTGAACAGCACGATGGCCTTGAGACACGCAAACTCGGTTTGATCCACGTGCATCTGCTTCAGATGATCCAGCACGTCTCGGAGGACCCGGATTTCGTTGAGCGTCGTCAGCAAATTATTATTCCCGTTATTGTTGGCTGCTGTCGTTTTGCAGTGACTTATTTTCGCGTTGTTCTTGATGATTTCTTCGTCATCGGACGACGACGACGATGACGAGTGTTCGGATGATGATAATGACGACGACGACAAATTTCCCGCCAAGGTCCTTTTTGAAGAGGACGACGACGAAGACTCAATTTTCCGTCGTTCCTTCGTCGTTTCATCTCGCGTCAGACGATCGTCGTCGTCATGATCGACGTCTTCGTCGTCGTCATTGTCGACGTCCACGTGGTGGTTGTCGGGGTCGACGACGGAAACAACGGCGGCTGCGGCGGCGGCGGCAGCGACGGATCCGGACGTGAGGCCGGCATTGGCCATGAGAGGCGCCATTTCGAAGGGCAGCATGAATTGGGCGGCGGAGAGCATGAAGAGTTCTCGCCAGCTCTGTTCCAGAAGCACTTGCTGGTCTCTGGCTGGCAAGCCCGTGAAAGCTGGCAAGTTTTTGGCCCACTGCACGTTGAGGAAGAGGAGACGGGCGGCGCTTTCGCAAATGAGTTCCACGTCTTGGAGCAGGCCTTGGATCAGAGGCGGTTGTTGTTGTGGCGGCGGTGGTGGTGGTGAGCTCTGTTCGACTTTGATCGCCGGACTGGGATACTGAGGGAAAAAGAGAAGAACATCACATCACCTTGTGAACATCACCTTCACAACTTTATAATCATCGCTTAATTGTTTTTTTTTTTTCGTGCGAAACAGGTTGAAATTGGCTTGCAAAAATCCCACGAGGTGCTTTACGAAATCAATTGTACGGTATAACAATAACCTGAGTTATCGTACTTCAAGTATGAATCGCACTGTCAAACGAGCACAAATATTGACTAACAACTTTAGGACACGTTGAACAACTTTCAAATGATGCAAATTTATCATCACTACTTGTTTTGTACTGCGAAAATAACAAAGAGGGCAAATAGGACTTCAGAAATATTTCCAGCAGAATGGGTAGAAAATTATTTTTCTTTTTTTATTAAAAAGTTTAGTAATGTCAACATTATTCATCATAAAAAATCGTCATTCAACAATCTGTATGACGAGTAAGTTGACATATTTTCAAACATGAAAAATTTAGGCATTTTTCCAAATGGAATCAAAAAACAAAATGAATATCTCCCACTCGTCTATAATTGGTTTGTGTTACGTAATCAAACTTAAAGCTAAAATGTTGAAACACAACACAAGAAAGATGGGGGTTGAATTGAGAATCGATTTCAAAGAAAATCAGCGAGACAACACAAAAGAAACGTGAAACTACAGATAGTTTTATAGGCATGTGAGTTTTTTCAAGATACTCAATAATCAGTAATCATGATACAAAACCAATGAATAAATCTCTTCGAAAAGCAAATGAAACGATGAATATCTTTTAAAATAACATCAGTAAGCCGTGAAACCAAAGTAAGAGTCTAGAATTACTGTAATCGTTCTTCATTTTCAATTCAAAAACGTCATTCTTCACCATTTTCTCAGTTTCAGAAGTACAGTACTTTACTGCATTCAAAACAAAAGACTCTTTCTTAATTTTGATCATGAAGCCGAAAAGATCTCCCACAAAAATAAAATTATCCGAAAAGTTGACTGAATTCCGAAATAAATTCTACCAGTGTAGAATCTGTAGATACACTTCTACGAGTGTGAAACATGCCTCCCATCATTTTCAAACTCAATTATTTCGAGAACCACCGGGATGAGAATATTTTGCAGCGTTTTGATTTTCAGCCCTCATGTTCGGCCATTAATATTACAAACGTGCTATTGAAAAATGCGAATTTTCAGACAGAAGTCCGAACACAGTTTTTTTTTAAAGACATAAAATATGTGTTTAAAAGTATCTCATCGGGATCACCAACCTTTGGAATGTGAGGATACACGAATGGCGTTGAAGTGACACCAGCAGCGGCAGCAGCCAACAACCCGTGACTCGCAGGCTGACCCTGTGTCGTCGTCACCACGGTTGCCACATTCGTCAGACCCGACGGTGGTGGTGGTGGTGGTGCCTGAGGTGGTGCGGAAGGCGCCACAGGCGACATATCAAAGCGCGGACAGCCGAGGGAAGGGAACCTCGGGAAGGCGTATCCCAAGTGCGAGGCCTGAGTCTGTGGAGGCGGCGCATGAGGACCAAAATGGTGGTGCTGGTGGTTGTTCTGGTGATGGAGCTGGTGGTGGTGGTGGTGGTGCTGTTGCTGGTGGTGGGGGTGGTGCCCGACCATTGACGGGTTCGGGATGCCGTAGGGTGCAGACATCTCCAACCCTTCTTTCATCAACATGCTCATTTGCCTGCGGATCGTGGAATTTCGTGGGCCTCGCTCGTGTTGCACGGCTGTGGAGTAGAGACCAGGAAATTTCGTTTAAAGATTAAACCTTTCATTTTGAACAACCGAATCAAGAAAACATTTCGAAATCAAATTTTTCATTGTACTCTATATATGTGGAATCAAACCTCTCTAAGTTTAACTACAGGTTACCAACAAAAAAAAAGATCTAGTTAAAATGGGAGAAGAAAGACTTTCAAGGAATTTTGATTGCGGTTATTCTGGTAATTAAAATGCTGCTTGAATAAGTTAACGGGATGATGCTGATCTTAAGGCAAAGGTTCATTTTCAGAATTAGTACTTCACTTGATTTCGAAACACATCAATTCACATTTCCATTGATTTTCTCATCATCCCTGTGTCAATAGAATCATAGCCGAAAGGGTTCCAGAAAACTCAAGTTACGGGAGGACGGGTGCTCTATCAAATTTTTCTCGGAGAATTCACACGGACTTGATGGAAAAAAAAATCCCGCACGAGTTTCAACAGTATTTTTCAAATCATAATTATTAGTGGGAGGAGATTGACTCACCTTCTCGGTTCATCCCAGCTTCGATGCATTTGACCAATCGACAAGCCCTGCACTGGTTCCGGTGCGTCTTGTCCACCAAGCACTTGCCTTCGTCTTTCGCCTTGCAAATGTACTGCCGATTTCTCCGGATTGATCTCTGCGCAAAAATAAATGGCACATACATGTTTATCATACTTGCTAACTTGCATGATATAGAATTTGTTGATAAACCGGAGGATTCAAAAAGTAGAACTCACCTTGAAAAATCCGGCGCATCCGTCGCAGGCAAAAATGCCATAATGTTTTCCGGAAGAATGATCCTTGCAAACTTTGCACGGGATGTCCAGCAATATTCTACCTGTTGACAACAATAAGAGGGAAGACACCATTTTACAAATATTCCAAATTCCAATCGGTTCAGATACTTAAACTGTCATATTTTAAGCGTTACAGCCCAAGAGTGATCGAAATTCGTTCGCGAATTCATCTCTGCTAAAACCTGGTAATTGCACTATTGGAAAAGTGCGACTTTTTCATCGCACAAACGTCGCATGTAAAGAATAAACGACTCTCCTTCCAAAAATGCAAAAGCTTATTTTCAAAAATTATGTGAGAAAATATCTGAAATAGTTTCGCTGTAATTTAATTCCGGAGAATAATGCAAACTCCGTCAGCGAAGTTTTTATGGTATGTCTGGATCACGTCAAAATTTACCAAGTACAACGAAAACTTGATTTCGTACTGTATTGCCTTCGTTGATTCGGTTCCGTAAAATTATTGTTTTATGTACAATATGGCACTTCAATTCGCGTTTATATATATTCCTCAAGCAACAAAATTGGTCGAAAAAAGAAGCCCCGGGCCCGTTTTCTTCCACGGAAAACCGATTTACACTGAAGATGGCAAATTTCACGGTTGAGAGAACAAGAATTAAAGGGTTACAATCAACAAAACCATCACGCAGAAAATTCTCCCGAATTCCGGCGCCACAGAAGACGAGAAAAGTCGCCGCGTGGCGTCCGTCAAAATCCTCGCATTGTCTCGGAAAGTCACGTGTGATGAGTCAAATATTTTTTATTATTTTTAGTTCGAGTATCCTTTTGTTACTATTCAGTGTAGAAAAAAATATTTCGGCAGCTTTTGTTCCACGTCGCGAAAGGTCTTCAATGCGGATCAATCTTTTGTGTGTCAAGGGCTCGTGGACACAGAAGAATGAAATATACCAGAAAATAATAATAATACAAGAGAGGAGGACACACACAAGCGTCTTCTTATTTTTAATGCTCAAAGGGATTAACTTTCTACCCTCAGGGGGTCTCGGGGTAGTTTCACCCTGTGTGATCATTAACTAGGAACCCCCAAGCGATGCCTTGGTGATAAAAGAAAACCCGGTCGAGCGCCAAACTGTCTGCAAGGTTCTTCTACTGATAATCATCTGGGGATTCCGAAACCTCTACTTATTTATCTCAGACACTATCTTAATTTTCTCTTCAAGGAGATGATTCCCTGATGATTTATCCATTGGAATGCACTTCACTCATTTACGAAACTCCCAACGAGCCCCAGAAATTCGCGAATTAAATTATCCTCTTTTTCATCCGGATCAGGCGCGCGCACCGTTGAATTTTCAACTGGAACTAAAATATATTTTAAAATTTCGGAAATTAATTTTTCGACGATGGACACTTTCCTGGATGCATTTTACACATGCGGAGTCAAAATTATAAAATTTTCGGTTGCTTTTCAAATTTTAAATGAACAAAAAAGACACTCACTCGAGGGCGTGGACGCAGGCGGAGTGCGCGGAGAGGAGTAACGCTGCGCCATGCCGATCGTCATGGGCGGAGTGATTCGAAGATCCATTCTCGGCTTTCTTTTCCCACTTTTTTAATTTTATTTTCGGACAAAAAACAAATCTTTGCACTTTCTCTCCGATAAGACAGTGGTGTTCCTTTTTTCCCCGGCCTGTCTCTCTCGAATGATGCGATTCAACTGAGGTAAATGACGAGCTCTCGCGGAAAGTGGCAGGGACGAAGTGACGCCTGAAGCCCGAGTCGCTGCCGATCATATACCCAGTCGAGGCGGGAAGCCAAAAAGGCTGTACAGAAGGGGACTTTAGCGAGCATTTTCACCGAGGAAAGGGGCGAGAGAAGGAGGAGGCAGGCGCGGGCAGAAGCGGTGATTGGCGGAGGAAGAGAAGCCACGCCTCTTCACTAGCCCGATGACTGTTGTTCGGGGCTTCGGGATCATTTCCGGGCGCCTCGCTGCGTGCGTATAATCCGTCCGGTGGTCCTTTTCACCGGTTTTTTTTTCAGCGAAAGCCCAGTTCCCTCTTTCTTTTTTATTTGCCGAAATTTTGAACGAAGCGATTTGATTTTGGAAGATACTAGCGAAAAAATGTAGTTGTTCTGAATTTGTGATCCGCAAATATTTTACAGCTCATTTATAAACTTTCCTGGGCCTCAGCAGACACGGAAGATAAATAACAAACCACTAAAACAGATGCAAATTTGAAGTCTCCGAAGAATTGGCAGGAGTTAACGTTCGCGTTTCGAGTGCGTAATTTATAGAAAATTTAAAAAATTGCATCATTGTCCTAGAAGTGTTTGTGATATGGGCCTCGCATTCTGTGCAACGGCATTTTATGCAACGTTACATATACAAAATCGGAGAACGACATAATTTTTGAAATTAATTTCGGGTCAGAAGATTACATATAATCTTTTCGCCATCCATCGAATGAACACACAGATAAAAATTGAAGTCTGAGAATCTTTCCAAAATCCAAAAAAGAGGGCATCAAGTACCGCGTTCCGGGAAAACGTTTTGCATCAAGCAAATGATCACAGAATAAAAAATAAATACTCTCGGTTGAAATATTCTTCAATCATTCAGCTTTTTTTTCAATCGTACTCCAGATATCGTCGAAGTTCTGTATGAAGAAATTGTAATGACTGATAGGCTATACCAAATCATTCTTGAGATTCGAATAATTATTTCGAATTGTTGATCTGAACCTATCTGGTCGTGAGCGCCGGAATTGAAAAAAAAAATCTGGAGAGTTCTGTATGCCTTTCATCGATCCCGCGATAATTTCGACCATTTTCTGACTTAAAAATTCGAGTATTCGAAGAAGTTAATTTCTAAGTAATGCTGTTTTTTTTTTCGTTGTACAGCTTCTTCCGTCTTGACTTTGGTTTTCATTTTCTATTTACGCAATAAAATGATTACCTGTTTCATTCAACATTTTTTAAATGAATGTTTTGAATCGTACATTATTTCGTCATGAAATCCTTCTTTTTTTAATCATACGCCGAAATAAACGGAGAAACTAAGGCGAGTATTTAATTCTAAAAATCTTCCCGGAATGCATACGACAATGAATGTCGACCATGAGAGGATTTCTAAAACGAAAAGAAACACTTGGCTTTGTGTTGATTCGGACAGCATTTTTAAATTTTTTTCTTCGCCGTTCAAAGCGGATTTCCGGCGACATTTTCAGCCTTGAGTCGTTCTTCGGAAGCCGGCTATTTTCGGATTGACGTCTCCACGATTGAATGCTAATCCGTCTGGAGGATTTCCACATGCTGTTTTTTTCTTCCCTTGGATTATAATCTAAAGCTTTGTTCATCTATTTGTCCTTTTTTTTCTTTTCGCCGTTGAAGAAAAGTTGTGTAAAATGAGTTGTTTCTTTGCCTTGGAATCAGTCTCCGGTTTTACTTTGACGCGCAGTTGCGACTCGACTCGACTCGCGGAAGTGATTGTTCAAGCCACACAAAGAGAAAAACAATTTATTGTTTAAAGCAACCAAATAAAAGACAAGAATGAGGAAAATAAAAAAGATGACGATGAGGCTGTGAGCAAGGAAAAACAAAAGCCTGGTTGCGCTAATCCAGTCGGGATTTTCGGCTTGTCAGTACCAGTCACGCCGAGCCCCGTGTTTTAGATTCACGTTTTTGTTGTTCGGTGAAAAGGCCGGCGGTCTTTTGGCAGCCATGCGGACGGAGACCAGGAATCCTTCTTTCCACAACGGAATTGCTCTCATTTATGGGACACAGGAAAAGTGTATTGTCTCAGAAACATTAAAAAACAATAGAATTTGCTCAATGCCTTCAAAGAATTTTTCAATGTGCGCTGCTGAAATCTCAAAGCATCTTTTGCAGAAATTCCTGATTGAAAATGGCGGGGATTGTAAGCACACTCAATTTTTGGCTGATATGCAGTGATTTACTATCCCCTCTCCCACAGAAACTTGAAACACAAGGGGGCAACATTTATTTTCTAATATGGGCTGCCCCCACAAAACAGTCAAGTTGTCCTCATCTCAAGTCTTTGACCTCATGTTTATTGGGCCTCTTTAACCCTTCAATGGCAGTGGGTCAAATTCTATCCAATGATGGTTTCATGTTATTTTTTGTTTGGCTTAAGGTCACTAAAATGCAGCTTTGGCTGAGTGTAGCTGAAGTCAGGAAGAATCTGGGAAAGGGAAATACCTTGTTCCTGAAATCCTATGGCAGGAATGCAGAAAAATGCCCCCAGCAGTAACCTGTTTTTTTTTCTTTGGTGATAATTTTCCTGCAGGAATGCCAAAAATATATGTGATTTTCCCAACTTTGGCTCTTCTAATAATTTCTGTATCCTCATTTTTCATTGAATGTGCTGCCACACAATTTTGCCAGATAAATCTCAGCACTGCAGCCCAAAGGTTGTAGCATTTTTCTTCAGAAATAACTGTCTTTAAATGTAAAATCATCCACATGTCAAGGTGTCTGCATGTCCTGGGGGTCTCACTGCATTCTCAATTCATTTTCCATCAACCTCATCATTGCTGTCCCCTTAAACCCAAGAATGGTTCCACACACACACACACACACACACACATGCAGTACAGACATGATGTAACACAACCCCATGCAGGGCCTGCGTGGCTGCATTGGGGATGAGAGGAGGCAAATCCGAAGCCATTGGATGTCACACCAAGAGTTCCATGCAGCTCAGCTGTTGCGCATTAGCTGCTCCTGGCTGCAAGGGGGCAGGCAAATGTGACGACAGATGGCTGTTGATGCCCTTCTTATTCATCCCCATCATCGTCATCATCATCACATCCTATATAGTCGCCGCCGCCGCCGCCACTGCCGCCACCACTATACCGATGCTGGTGCCTTTCAGACTTGCATCATCGGAGATAATACACTGTCCTGGGGGATGATACAGATAGAAAAACCGAGCGTCACGTGTGCGTGCGTATGATGAGGGAGCTGATGGGGCAAAAACGAGCATCCTGTATATACTGCGTATAAACATCACCCCGCCCCCCACCATTGTAGACTTGACGCAAGAAGAAGAAAAAAAAAAACGATCCGAGTGGTTGTTTCAATATGAACTGGGC